CACCTATAATTCCAGCACTTGGGAGGCTGAGGCAGGAAGATTGCCATGAATTCTGGGTCAGAATTAAGTTAATTCTAGTCTTGGCTGGCTACAGAGTAAGACTGTCTCAATAAGCCCCCAAAAGATAAAAACTCATTTATAAATATTGTATAATTACACAATGTCCAATAGCAAGTGAGACTGTTTCTAAAGAAAAGGTTTAAAAGAATCACTGCTTTCTAGATAGTGTTTTCAGCATATTTATTAATTTAAAAGAAATATGAAAAATAAGAAGAAACAATATGAGATTTATTTTGGAAATGTGAAGTTTCATTTATCTCACCTTTATTAATTTTTAACTACACTTAAATTAGCAGAAAGAAGACCAAATATCCAACTTACCTAGAGAATTGAGTCTATAGTAACAAGACTATTAATTTGAACCATCTAAGATTACTAGTTTGGATATAACCTTTGAGTAAAGGTTAGAAGCTGGATTTCATATATATATGAAGCTTTCATACTTTAAAATCAAGAATCCATACTTCTGAAAATAGAATATTTGTTTTACAACTCTATAATAGAAAAAAATAGAAACACAATACAGCAATCAAAAGTTTCACCTTTATATGCTTATTGGATCTATAGACTTCAAGTTGCTTTGTTTGGTGTAGTCTAATTATTCTATGCATGACTTACATACACTGAAATATTTAAATGTATTGATTAATGCAAATATCACTTGATCCATGTGAACTCCTAGGTGTCTTAAAGCCTTATTATTCAGCTAAATAACTTCCTTCTTTTTAATAATATATTACATCAAGATAATTTACTAACAACAGAGAGAAGTGGCAAAAACTGCAAAACGTTAAGTACAGAGGAGGGAGAAATAAAACAAGATGTAAAAGAACACACCTGTTGAAAATCAAAATGAAACAAATTGCTTGGTAGATTTTAATTTCTTTTTATGTATGTCTGCATTGAACTAATTTATAAAGTTTTCTTATTCTACTCTATAGTAGAGTCAAGACATGAAATTGGTTTCCATTGTATATTTAGGGAAACAAAAGGAATCAGGTGACTTTCTTTGGAACCTAACATATTGCTAGAATGAGACCTGATAATAGTAATATAAAGCTTCCTCCATGTTACAAGTCAGTAACTTGTAAGCTTGTTATCTAGTTAACTAGTTATCAAATTGGAAGCCAGTCTTACTAGAAATGAGGTACCTGATATTTATACTATTACTATGATTATTTTACCCATTAATCTTTTTTATTTAACTTTTTGTTATCATTGTTTTTATTTCCCCATTGAATAATTATGGAAACATAATTTATACAGCAAATGTTCTTGAAAACTATTTATGGAATACTGTGATTATTTAGGTCTTAACTAATGATGAGAAAGCCAGGTGTGGAGGATCAGACGGTCAAAATAAGCCTTGGCTACACAGCAAATTCAAGGCTGTTCTGTTCTACATGAAAGCCTGTCTCCAAAACACCTAAGCCTCCAAAGTCTCCAAAATCTGATGGAAGTTGAGCAGCATTTTATAAATTAAATAATGCATTTATTGTTCACTTTAGGAGATATATTTATGTGAAATTTGGGGTGGGGACCAAGAGTGGAAAATGAAATGTATGTCATGAAAGAAGAAAGATAAACTATTTGTGGTGAGGAAGAGGACTTGAGAGATCTGGGGCAAATAAGAAGAGTACAGATATAAATATATACATATGTGTGTACACATATATAATATACTTGCATTTACATACAAATAGGAAAATGTTACAGTGAAATCTCCATTTTTGTGTGCTAATTGAAAATTATTTTAAAATTTGTCTATGTATATGCTGGGGATTGAACCTAGATCTTCAAATGCTAACCATCTATTCCATTACTGGGTTCCACTCTAGCCCAAAAATAAGGTTCAAAATACAAACAAGAGAATTTATGTGATTCTTTCACTGCCCTATATTTTGTGAGCATATAAAGCAATACTTTAAATAGCTTGGAATTCATATTTTTAGTATCTTTATGGCTCTCACTAATTTTCAATCCCAAGAATAAATTAAAAAGTAAAACATTTCTCTTCAAATCGTATGTATTCTCAGGAAATGACAAGGAAACAAATATGAGTTTGGTCTACTTAAATCTTTTCTAGCTCCTTTCTGACATGTAGTGACTAAAATATGATGCAAAATTCTGCAATTTAACTCTAATAATTCATCTAATAGATTTTTGCATCTGTACTAGATACCAAATAGTACTGGAGGCAGTTCTCATTTCAACAGAGTAACTGTGATCATGAGAATACTCTTCACCTCTTCTGTCTAATATGTTGCTACGTGTTGCTATGACATTCTTAAAATGGGGCTAGTCTAAGGAACAGAATTTTAAAAATTAACAGTAGCCGTATGATATTTTCAAGGCTTACATTCTAAGGGGGGAGTGAACAAAGAAGAAATTGGGAAGATAATTAAAGTAGTTCTGAATAGTAAGAGCATTGAAATGAAGGGCATACGTAGTAAGTACTCTTCTATAATAAAAAGGAGAACCCTGGGGCAAGAAAGGATAGTGAGTTGTCTCTTCAGAATATGAGTAGTCCTGGAAAAAGCTGTCTGCTGAAATAACACTTGATCTGAGACTAAGTGGTCAAAAGACATCTATGTAGAGAACTGGAAGCTGGATGTGATAGCATAACCTGGAATCCAACACTTAGAAAACTAAAACTCAGGGATCATTAGTTTCAAGGTCTGCCTGGGCTATGTGGCCAAACCTCTCTTGATTGACTAAAAAGGACTAGGGATCGGCTCAGTGTAGACAACCTAGCATGGATGCAACCCTCTGTTTGATTTGTGGGGTCAATTGCTAGGAGAACGCTACCTGAAGGATGAGCAAATGTGCTAGTGAGGGAACAAGTGAGAGAGAGAGAGAGAGAGAGAGAGAGAGAGAGAGAGAGAGAGAGAGAGAGAGAGAGGAGAACTAACAAACAACGTGACTGCTGCTTTCACTGCAAAGGAGGGGAGGCCACAGAAGGCTGTGAGGGCTCCATCAGCAAGTCTGGGGTTAAGAGAGATGGAAAACACTGCGACCTTTTAAGTAAAATAATAACAGCATGAAGTCAAAATAGTGTGATGCTGTGTCTTTAACAGCCATGCCTAAGTTCTTTCTGGGAAATAAATTCTAGCAGAGAAAGATGGAGGCAGAGTCACCAAGTGAGGCGCTAGCTGTTATCTAGGGTGGCAGCCATAAAGAAGGTGACATGGAGAGAATTCCCAGTGTATCTCAGAGGTAAAACCAATAAGCTTGGTGATAGAATCAGTACAATGAAATGATTCATTTCTAAGTGTCCCAATCTTTTTTTTTTTTAATTTTGTTTTATTTTACAATACAGTTCAGTTCTACATATCAGCCACGGATTCCCTTGTTCTCCCCCCTCCCGCCCCTCTCTCCTTCCCCCCAACCCACGCCCCATTCCAACCTCCTCCAGGGCAAAGCCTCCCCCAAGGACTGAGATCAACCTGGTAGACAGTCCAGGCAGGTCCAGTCCCCTCCTCCCAGGCCGAGCCAAGTGACCCTGCATAAGCCCCAGGTTTCAAACCGCCAACTCATACAATGAGCACAGGACCTGGTCCCACTGCCTGGATGCCTCCCAAACAGATCAAGCCAATCAATTGTCTCATCCATTCAGAGGGCCTGATCCAGTTGGGGGCCCCTCAGCCATTGGTTCATAGTTCATGTGTTTCCATTCATTTGGCTATTTGTCCCTGTGCTTTATCCAACCTTGGCCTCAACAATTCTCGCTCATATAAACCCTCCTCTTTCTCGCTAATTGGACTCCCGAAGCCCCACCTGGGGCCTAGCCATGGATCTCTGCATCCAGATCCCTCAGTCATTGGATGAGGTTTCTAGCATGACAATTAGGGTGTTTGGCCATCCCATCACCAGAGTAGGTCAGTTCGGGCTGTCTCTCGACCATTGCCATCAGTCTATTGTGGGGGGATCTTTGTGGATTTCTGTGGGCCTCTCTAGCACTTTGCTCCAATCTTATTATAAGGTTGAATTTCTTAATAGTGTGATCCCGTTGACACACACTTAACTCTAATAACTGTTAATATTGTTATCCATATAAACATACCACTCTCATAGATTAGTTTGATTTGTTAATGTTTGATGCGTTAGAAAAATACACCAACAAAAACCTATAAATGCTTGGTTTAAAAGAACACTTTTATTTTGCCGTGTACTGCAAGCAAGTTTTATCATGCTAGAGTTATGAACTGATTATATGATGTCTGTTCTCTGATAAAGGATTCCTGGCTCTCTCCTTAGGTGCAGTATGTATGGTTTTTTGTACAGAGTCAAACTGAGCAGAATTCGAGTACACATGTTCATACAGGGGCCTTACACAGGGCCAGTCAATGTATGTAAGGTTTTTTGTGCCCAGTCCCTAGTGTCTTGGCATTACATTTATTATGTCTGTGCTGCTCCTGGATGAAATGCCACAAAGCATTCTTTTACTATTGTAGCCTAAACCAGTTTTTCTTTCTTTTTCTTTTTCTTTTTTTTTTTTTAAAGAACTTGCAATTACCATCATAAAGTTTCCTTACTGGAGAACTTTCCATAGTGCATTATCATTCCACAAGTCTAATAATAGTGGAATATAAAGATTTTTTTTAAAGAAATTACTACAATATCTAAAAATGATTTTGAGGCCTATAGCTAACTCTATAATGAGAAACACTAAAAGTCTGGACAAAGAGAAACAAAGAAAACTGCCAAAATCAGGGCTTTTAGAACCGGTACATGTTGGAGACTATAAATCTGACCAGCTAGAAATAGTTTGCAAATTGTATGCACCCTTACATTGTCTAAACACGGTTAAAAACCCGTTCTCTACTTTTGAGAATGCTAATGCTTAAAATTGGTCATTACCTGACTTTTATGAAAGTTTATGGACTTCTGTCTTGTAGCTGCATAAAAGCTAATTCTGTGTTTTCTGTGCCTTCTTACAGTGGTGTTATCAGGGAGACTGTGTTCCTTTTGGCACTTGGCCTCAGAGCATAGATGGGGGCTGGGGTTCCTGGTCGCTGTGGGGAGAGTGCAGCAGGACCTGCGGGGGAGGCGTCTCTTCATCCCTAAGACACTGTGACAGTCCAGCGTAAGTAGCTAAAGTAAGCCAGAGCCAACAAAAAGACACAGTTGGAAATGATTCAAAGCTGTGGTTTCACATGTTATCTGTAAAAATGTTTCTCTAGCAAGCCAAGTGCTTGTCTTCAGAAGAAGCAAGAGGTCCAGGAAAGTGAAGGAGCTTTGTTAGACAGACTTTCTTTTTCTTCTTTTCTCCTTATTGTGTAAGTGAAAATTAAAAAAAAAAAAAAAAAGAGAGAGAGAAAGAAAGAAAAATCCCAAACCTTTAAAATAGAAGTGCATTGTCTGTCTATATAAGCTAGTAATAATCAGATTTCCTCCTCGGAAGACTGCTGAATTATGGATGAATCCAGACCTGGTTTCTGCTACATTACCATTACTCCCAGAAAAAGAAGGGCTTTTCACATGTCACATAAAATTATTACTGCCACATTACTATTAGAAGGACCAATGAGAGCGCTTCAGGGGTTGAAATGCCGTGATTCGCATCACAAATCACAATGAAGACAATACTGCCCATGTGTTAAAGTGGCTTCCATTCCTATGCTCCTGTCATCTCCCAGGACTGTTCATGCAGGCCAGCCTGCTCATCTGCTACCACTCTCCAACCATAGTCTCCTTAGGGCAAAGTCAGCCCATCAGCATTCTTTGCCATCTCTGTTTCTCTCCATCCTACCGATGTACAGGTAGACTGTTACTTTAGTTCACTTTTCCTCTTCTGCTGAAGACTCACCTGATCCTTGGCTGCAGCCTGCTACCTACCCACTGTGTCTAGAACTGCTCCTTTGGTGAAGAATGATGTTATAACATCTCTACTTACTCCACCTGTGGGAGCCCACAGAGGTTTCCTAGTGAGATCTGAGCTTGCTTTACCTAGCAGGACTACATAAGGGGGATGGATTGACCACATGTGTGGTTACCAGGTATTTGGAAGGGTCTGCACTTGGCTGTGCTAGGAGGAGGTCTTTTGGCCCACCCCTTGGCATTCCTTTAAAAAGCCCTTTCTTTAGAAGAGACAGAAGGAGCCATTGGGTGTTGACCCAGGTCCTCCCGAAGCTATCCTGTGTTCTCTCTTTCCTCTCATCGGCTAGGAGTATCCTTCTATCTACAAGTTCCTTATTCCTTTCTCCTCCTCATAGGTACCCTGGAAAAGGTGGCAACTGGCCCCCCACACCCACCCACCCCAATAAAGGATAAAGGGTAGTCTAGTTTAGTTCTTTATTTATTCTCATTTTAACCCAGTACTCTTAGCTTTCTTCAAGTGCCTCATTTCTGTTCTTTTTATCTAAAAATATTTTCTTTATAATCATTCTAGATTCCATCTTCCCACTTTCTAGCAGTTACTGCCCTCCTAGCAGAGATTCCTATTATAATTCATAAACCATTCATGACTGCCACCATCCCCACAACCTTGTTTTGGCCTTACAATCTCTTTCTTCCAAGTTGGTTCAAACTGATCAATTCACTGGTCTTCAAAACATATTCCAAATCCACTGGTACCAGTGGATTTGATTCCTTTTTAAGTAAATGCAAGGATAATTAGCCTAAATTCAACATAGGCTGCTAAAAACTATTATCCCAAAATATGAAGCCTTATGATATATTAACAGACTCAGATATATAAGGGAATGACATGAACCTCTTCAAAGAAGAATTTTTCACTTGATAATAGCATGCCCAAATGATGGCATATGTTTTTCCTTAATTCTAAATACTTTAAAGATTAACTTGATTAATTTATGAAAACAAATATTTGATATAGTCTTTTTCATTAATTTGAAAGTAATATAATGCAAAGTTATCTTTTTGCCATCTTCTTTTTTAATTTGATGTTTTTAACTTTGTGTTGAACTGAAATGAAAATGCATTTTTTTGTATTATTTACTCTGAACTGGATCCATTCCCAATGTTATCTCATTGTTTTCTACCTGAAAGAAAAGATTATACTTTGTGTTGAATATAATTTAAGTGGCTTTTCACTATAGATAAGTTTTTTTAAAGTCATTGTATTGAATGAAGCACTATACTATGATAATTAAATATACTAATAAATAATCCTGAGAATATAGATAATAACTCTTAAGTCTTATAAATTATTTATATATGCTACCATAATTTCTTGTTGAATAACCATACTCATTGTTAACAAATATCATTAGTTAAGTAATTGATAAAATGCCACATTTTATATCTTCTTAAAGTCACTTTTGATGTTTTCATCAAACAATATATGTAGTCTTTGTGTGATAGATGCATTATAATCATGTGTTAAATAAATGTTGTTTTCCAGACCTTCAGGAGGTGGAAAATATTGCCTTGGAGAAAGGAAACGATATCGCTCTTGCAACACAGAGGTAAGTAAGCCCCAAATCTGTTATGAATAATTAGCTTACTCTTCTTCCCAGCAGGGAAAGCCTTAACTTGAGACTATTTAATCAGAAGTCCACGTGTGTAAGGGTCACATGAATTTCCTAAAAAGCTAGCCTCAGCGCTGTCAGTCCATCGGTAAGGCCACAAGGAAGCTCCAGAAGGAGGACAAGTGTCTTCTCCCCAGTAGAGAGACCCACACATGCCCTGATTAACTTGGCCTCAACTCCCAACCTCAATGCCGCTGTGTGTCTTGAGTCCACTGGGGTCGGTTGTACTATGCTCTTCAGCTTGGTTTCTGTTCCTCACAGCGAGAAGCCTCAGACTCGCACATCATCCTCATCTCTTGGCTTCCAGTCCCTTAAGACTCAACGTTATAGCCTATAGCCTCTTCCACCCCAAATCGTGTCCCTGCCACTGGTGACTATGAAAACATTTCTGTGCCCTCAGGAATTCATGATCCGTGATCAGCAGAATTCCGCTGTCTGACTTCTTGGAATTTCCCTTATTTTTACTGTGTTAGCTGCATCTCTGTGGCTGTGATGAAATACCCAGACAAAGAAACCTAGGGGAGAAGGTGCTTGTTTTAGTTCACATCTCCAGAACTGGTACAGCCCATCTTGGTAAGGAAAGCATGGTGGCAGCGCATGACACCTGTCCATTGTGTTTGCGCTGGCAAGGCGGAAACAGAAAGGAAACTGGAGTAGGGCCATGTTCCAAAACCTCCCAACTAGCCCCCAGTGACATGCTTCCTCTAGCAACACTCTACCTCTTAAAGGTTCCATAACCTTCCCAAACAGCACCACCAGCTAGAGACCAAGTGTTAAACACAAGTCTCTGGGAGACGGTTCATGTTAAAAACAGCATTTCCCTTCTTGGTTTAATGGAAACCATCCCTCCTTCGAATCTACTGTTTCCTTTGTAGTTTGCCAACTGGGAGCTTCTTGTTTTTCCCCTTGGTCATTGTGGACTGGCTCTGGCAGTAGATTGACTATATCCCATTTGGTTATTCTGTCCAGATCATTCTTTCTCTCTCCTGTGTACAAAACACAGTATTTTATTTTGTAACATTGGAATATTAACAAACTAAGCTTCATTCACATTTTCCAGTCTATTCCTGCCTTGATTCCTTACAGATTCATAAATGTGTTGATGCTTGCTCCTACGTGTCCTCTTCTGAATTTTTCCATAAGCATACGAACATCTTTCTACCTGAAAACAAACAAAAAGTCCTCGCCAGGTGTTCCAACCACTTCTTTGCTGCCCTTTGAAAGAAATTCCTCCAAAGACTTATCTGAATGTACTGAATTGAATTCACACCTTCTAATTTTTTCCTGAGCTTGCTTTTTTATATTTCCCCCTCCGTCATAGCGTTGACATGCTCTTACCAAGTCACAGATGTCTTCAATATTTGCTGAACCCAACGGTTGGTTGTAGTCTTCATCTTCCTGCTCACTCAAACTTTTTGATTATTCTGTTTTATTATTGCTTCTCTTCATTCTCCTTTGCTAGTCCCTGCTCTTTTCTTTGATTTCCTAGTGTTAGACTACCCAGAGCTTTGCCTGGGTATGCTTCCAATACTCATTCTATTTCTGATCTCATCCAGCTTCAGTGATTTTGACACTATTATATATCATTCAATTCCCAAATTTATATCTTCCAACCCAGTTGTCATCTATGGACACCAGGCCCATATCTTACTACTTGACTAGACCTTTAATAAACATGCAGTATTTAGTGTATACTAATATTATCTACAAAACTGTTCAACACTGTTCTCTGTCAATATTTTTCTCCTCAGATGTCAGCTCCATCAGTGTAAGTCAAAATTCTAGAGGTTTTCTGTTTGTTTGTTTTCTCCCAGTCTTTTCTCGTCTGTATCCATCTAATCCCTCAGGAAATTCTGTTGTATTTTGCCTTAAAAATACATCTCACAGCCGGGCGGTGGTGGCGCACGCCTTTAATCCCAGCACTCGGGAGGCAGAGCCAGGCGGATCTCTGTGAGTTCGAGGCCAGCCTGGGCTACCAAGTGAGTCCCAGGAAAGGCGCAAAACTACACAGAGAAACCCTGTCTCGAAAAACCAAAAAAAAAAAAAAAAAAAAATACATCTCAGATTTGACAACTTTTCACTACCTCTGCCTCGTCTACTCTGGTCTGAGTTACTGGTATTTATAGTTATCACTTTAATAGGCTTTTATTTTTGTTTTTTGAGGAGCTTGTTACTACGCTCAGGACCTTACACATGCTCAGGCAAGTGCTCCACCACTGAACTTCACCATCAGCTCTTTTAGTACCCTCATGAGTTGGTTTGCTACCACCAAACCTGAACTCTCCAGTTCCCAATGTAGGAGGCAGAGTATGTCCGATTATCCTTACCCTTTGACCCTCTACAACCCATTGTTTTCTTAAACATATTTAATTGTTACAAAAGCTAGCAAGAACTGTACAGTCTGACTTCCATTGCTTCTTTGAACTGATCTGTTAGCAGCTGCTTCATCATTTTCTTTGCCCCAACTTCATGGATCTCTTTCCAAACATGTGCTGCTAATGCTCTCTCCATAGGACCTTTGTCTTGACTGCTCCCTTTGCTTCGTGCACTTACATGCACTTCTCTCCCTTCATCTTTCCTCAACTGTTTCCTTCTCAGCTAGGCCTGTCCTGAATACTGTGCTGAAAATTGTGAGCTTATCTGTTCCTCTATTTTTCTCTCCTTTTAATATACCTGTTTATCACATTTTATTCTGCTGAACAGGTATCAGAGTAATTACATGTACTTTCAATTATAAGGCTTTTCAAGTTACTAGCACTATTCATTCCCTTAAATTGAATGCCTGATGTATATTTTCAAGAAATCACTTAAATTCATGAAGTCACAACAGAGAATAATAACAACATGTTGACATAAGTCATATGTTATAAAAGTATGTAGAATTGGCACATAGCTAATTAGGAATTTAAGGATTCATCTCCATAAAAAGCTTGAGAGACCTGAAAGGCAAAGAGAGTTGGCCAGAGAAAAGATAGTGATGATAAAAACATTCTAGGTAAAAGCAGAATGAAGCGCAAGGCCATTGTGCTAAGTCTCCTGTCTGTTCTGAGACCTTTCGAAGCCATTGGAAGAGCTATAGATTGTGGCTTTAGATGTGAACAGGATGGAGAAAGATAAGAGTACAGCATAATAGTGAATATGTTAAGAAGAATTTAATGACCAAAGTGCTGAGACAGAGGCTCTTCACAAGGGATGAAAGTGGAGTTGAAAGTGAGCTATTGGGGAGGAAATTAGAAACTGACTTTTAAAAGGCCATCAAAGGAAAACCAAAACCAAATTCGAAACAAAGCAAGACTAGTATAATGGGAAAGGTAAAGTGAGTTGGGTCGAAGTTGAGATCAGAAAGAAGTATATTTGAATTTATGATATAACGAGTGAGCACATTCACAGTGATGACATGTCTAGAGGGTGGTGATGGAGTGCATGCCCAAACTTGAGTGGAGGCAAAGTGGACAGAACTTCCCAGCTGCTAAGACTGATGTCTCTTCCACGTGACTGGTGAAGAACTAGGTGTATAGGGTGAGAATGTCTTAATTCTCATATGCCTTGATATCCCCCAGGAGAGAAAACGGCCCTCATTTATTAAGCCCCAACTGATTTAGATTAACGGCACCAATGTCAGAAGAATAGAGATTTTATACAAGGATAGAAGTGAAGACCTATCGTTGTATCATACTATTAGGTAGGAGTGTAAAACACTGTTTCCATTATTATATAATAATAATTATACAATAATATAGGCACTATACAATATGAGTAATGTATGTTAGGAAACAGAACATGAAAAAAAATGACAGACATCATTGCCTACACTCATGACAGTATTAGAAGCTCAAATTATAGAATGTAGTATTGTATGCTGGCATTTCTATTACTATTTTTTCCTTTTATTTCAATTTTTAATGAATTATAAGGAGATAGCTATGTTAACATAGCTGAATCATGATACATATATGATTAATCATGTTTCTTCATTAAATTGACCTTACCAATTTAGAACTTGAAGTAATTCACTAACCATACTAAAATTTATTTTCCATTTATTAAAATTAATAGGTTTGTCTGGATATAACTTATGTTGGGGACTAGCTTTAATTTATCTAATAAAGGAATATTAAAAATTTCTAGAATATATAATATTGACCAGAAGTTTCTAATAGAACTTGATTCAAGTTATGGAAATGATCTATATATCTACTGTCAAGTGTGGTAGCCACTGACACTAACCCGGTTAACTAATATGCGTTTGATATGAGATGTAGCTGGGTAACTGGAGAACAGAAATTTCAGTTCCAGTTTGAACAGTCATATGTGACTAGTGGCAACCATGTTGGTCAATACAGAACTAGCTTTTACCTATGCAATAGAAAATCATTATGAAAATTGTAAATGCTATACATAAAGCTTTCAAAGCAAATACTTCTTGATTCATTTAGAAAATACAATTGGTCTTTTGTATCTGTGGACTTCACACTGGGCCTATTCAGCCAAATCAAAAACAAATTTAAAAAAAATAAGTCTATATTGAATATGTAAAACACTTTCTTGTGATTTTTATTCCTGCACAATAAATTATAACAATTATTTTCTTTATATTAAGCATTATAAATAATCTGGAAATAATTTAAACTATATGAGAGGATATGTGCCATAAGTAACATCCAAAAACTATACCATGTTTATAACTACATAATTCATGACCCTTGGTATCTGTAGCGGGAGTGCCAAAAAAAAGTGGGCCATTAAAGTGTCTTGAGAACTTTTGTCCTGGCAACATTCACAGACGAAAAAAAGATCAAAATGTCATAGTGATTCCTTCTGAAGAGAGAGATAGTACAAGAGTTATTCCAATGGACTTTGTTCCCTCAATAAACTTTATTTTATTTGATATTATTATTTATTCATTCATTTTTTTATCAGGAAGCTATATACTTATC